TGCTCATAAAATTGCCTTCGGAATTGGAATATTTTTTGAAAAAAGACCCGAATTTTTGGGTTTCCAAAATAATTTTTTCATTTTTTTCAATTTTCCGTAAAAATTTTCCCGAATAAGCTTGATTCCTTTGCTGCAGTCATCTCGACAGAGAGGCTAAAAATGTAAATCGTTAATTCTATCGTTAATTTTATCGTTAATTTTAACTGAATCGTTGATTTTATCGTTAATTTTAATTAAATCATTAATTAAATCGTTAATTTACCTTAACTTAATCTTAATTAAATCGTTAATTTACCTTAACTTAATCTTAATTAACCTTAATCTTAATCTTAATCCCAACCTCAAGTCTAAATTCGATTGCATTCCACTGCAATCCATTGCACACAGCGCCTCACCCATTAAACTCGGTAAGCCAAAACTCAATTGAACCTCTCAAACAGTACAGCACACTGCAACAGCACATTGATCAGCCACACTCACGAGTTGATCAGCAGCAAATCGATCGAGCGATTAATCAACAGCAGCAAAAAATTTCCAATCAATCAATTCAGATCAGCAAAAAAAATCGATGATTGGCTAACAGAATATCAAAGAGCATAAATCTAAGATCTGATGACGACACAACAACAACAGCAACACCTTGTGGTTTTTTTAGTGGTGTGTTGATGAGGTCGTGAATCCAAATCGTTAATTGGATCGTTAATTACCGCTAATTTACCTTTAATTTACCGTTAATTACCGCTAATTAATGTTAATTAAAACGTGATCTCAAGTTTACAGCAGTGTTAATTTTACTGAATGATATGCTATCAGTACATTGTCTAGTCGTAATATCGCTTAGAACTACTCGTTAATTACATAGTTACCTGTATCATTAACTTACTGTTAATTGCATTGTTAATTGTATCGTTAATTGTATCGTTACTTTATCGCTAATTTTATCGTTAATTTATCGTTAATTGCATCGTTAATTTCAGCTCATTGCTAGCTGACCGCATCGTTAATTGTATCGTTACCTAGATCGTTACCTGCATCGTTAATTGTATCGTTACCTAGATCATTAACTGTATCCTTAATTGTATGGTTACCTAGATCATTACCTGCATCGTTAATTGTATCGTTACCTGTATCCTTAATTGTATCGTTAATTATATCCTTACCTAGATCGTTACCTGTATCGTTACCTGTATCATTAATTTTACCGTTAATTATATCGTTACCTGCATCGTTAATTATATCGTTACCTGTATCGTTAATTTTGCCGTTACTCGCATCTTCAAATGCTACCTTAAGCCTAAGTTCAAGCTCAAGTTCGCTAAATATTCCACCCTAATCACCCCAACTCAACTGAATAATCCCTTATCAATCCAACAGCAATGGCATGTGTCCATAGTAAATCACTCATCACCTATCGAATAATTCCACGATCGCCTGATAATACTCATGGAGCCGTGACGTCACAGCATCCAATCCCTATTACCTACCACCCCCTATCACCAGAAATCAATCAACAACTCGTTACAGCCAGCCGGCTGTCAGGAAGCGCAAAACTATACACTGAAATGAAGAGAATCAGAGAATAAAACACAACGAGAGACACCTTTTTTGCTGTGCATCATCGAGAGACGCCAGAGACGAGAGTGCCAACAGAAGATCTGCGAAAAATTCCGGAAAAATAGCGGAAATTTTCTCGGGAAAAGATAAAAAGTTTATGAAAATCGTCGGGAATCAATGTAAATCAATGGAGAGCAGAGACATTGAGAGAAATGGAGAGAGATGGGCGATTGAAGAGAGTAACTGATAAAGAGTGATGAAGTGATAAGGTGACTGATAATTGACTGATAAGGGTGATAAAGCGAGTGATAAGCAACTGATAAGAATGGTGGGCAGTGTTAAAATGTGTGTGTGTACGTGCGTTGTTATTGTGTGTGTGGTTAGTGGTGTTGTGGCTAATAAATTTATTCAGTTGATACACGCTCATTGCAGCTATCAATCCAGCCAACTGCCCTACCTGCCCGTCTTATCAGAGAGCGGTGGTGCTTGCTTGTTTTATTTAGTGAATTTGTACATCGTTCACAACAATTTGTTCCTCGTTTTACGTCTTAACCTGAAATGAGTTTCCGATTTCAGGTTACGCGGATTGAGCAGGGAAGAGGGGGAGGGCTAATTCTTATCAGAGAGTGGTGGTGCTTGCTTGTTTTATTTAGTGAATTTGTACGTCGTTCACAACAATTTTTGTTCTGTGCTTGCCTTACGTGTTAACCTGAAATGAATTTTCCGATTTCAGGTTACGCGGATTGAATAGGGGAGCGAGGGAGGGTTAATTCTTATCAGAGGGCGGTGGTGGTGGTACACCACAATTTGCTTGCGCTTATTTCATTTATTGAATTTGTACGTCGTTCACAACAATTTTTGTTCCGTGCTCGTTATACACGTCCTAATCGATTTCAGGTTACGCGGATTGAATGGGGGAGAGGGGGGCTATTAGCTCAAGAATGAATTTTTTGGTTTCAGGTTACGCGAACACGGGTTCATTGAAGTTTATTGGGGTTAAACTTTTCAGGATTTTACTTTAGTAGACTTAAGAGTTGAGATTGGAGCTAGTAGGTTGTTTGGTTTGTTGCAGAAGTTTAGTTCCTAATTATCTGTCCCATTTTACCCGAGTTTACCTCAATATTACCTAGAGTCGGTTCAGTATTACCCGGCTCTACCTGAATTTTACCCAAAATCGGTTTAGCACTGCCAACTTTACCTGAATTTTACCCGGAGTCGGATTAATTTAACTCATACTTGCCTCAAATTCGCACTTTAGCTTCAGTTCGATTCTCGATAATACAACTCGATAATTAAAGTTTCACACAATCAACCAAGGAACAGCAGCTGAAACCATACCGTAACCTAAAGCTACCGTAACCGTACCGTAATCTAATGCTACCGTAACCCAAAACTACCGTAACTCGCCAATACCGTAACCGTACCGTAATCATCCAATTCAACTAAACCTTAAATTTGCATACATTTCAGCTTGAAAAGTAGCGTGATTCAAGCAACCAC